CTCGGCGGGCTGCGGAGGAGCCGTGATGGCATCGATCTCCTGGGAAAATGACATCCCAACGTCAACTTCAAATCCCAGGGGAGGCAAAAGCGGAGTCAAAGCACTCATCGGCGGAGGACAACGTCTCGAACCATGAAACCACTCTCTTCCCGCCAACCAGCTCCCTCCCAAGGAGGAATTCCCCTCTGCCCTCTTTCCCCTCAGCTGCACTAACCGCCAGGAAGTTTGCCAGCGTGCTGTCAATGTCTGCCGAATTACTGCCATTTGCATCTGCGGAACGGGCTGACTTTTCCGGGGTTTCGCCCTCCTCGTCGTCGCTGTCTGCGTAAGCACCAAGCAAACACAAACCTCCTGCCCAGGGAGGCGAAAAAAACTTCAGCAAGAGGGAGGGAAAGCATCGGGGCTCCTCCTGCCGCCACGGAGAAGCAGATCCAACCCCCCCCTCGGCCTGGTCCCACCGTCACCTCACTAATCCTGCGTGGGGGGAGCAGCCCCACAGGGACAGACAACCCCCTCCCGCGAGCGTTCAGGGGAGAAACACCCCCACTGGCTCTTCAAAACACCTCCTGGCCCCCCAAAATCCGAGGGAAACCAGCCCTCCAACCACACTGGGAATGGGAAATACCCTCCCAGGAAAAAAAAAAAAAAAAAGCAAAAATAACAACACTAGGAAGAAAAAACAATTCCCCATCCCTGGAAAAAAAAAAGGGGGGAAATATCGTATCCTGGCTGTAAACCATAGATCAGGGAGTCACTGCTCACCAAATTGCCACTGTTTTAATCTTAAATAAATTTAATATAAATTTAGTAATTAAGAGCTCATAATAATAATAATACAGGAGAAAAAAAAATTACCTTTTCCTCCCCCAGAAAAAAATACACCGGGTGGAAAATATCTACTGACCCAAATTTTTGAGATGAGAAATCATCTTTCCATCAAAAACCACTTAAGAAGGGGGAAATTTCCCCATCACCACCCCAAAAACAGGAAAGTGGGGAAAATAACCCTGCTTCCCCCTCTAAAAAAAAATACTGGAGGGGGATCACCCCATTCCCCCAGATAAAAAACACTTATATGGGGTAATCGTCCTACCTCAGTAATAAATAAAAAGTGCAGTTATGGAGGAGGAATCACAGTGATGAAAAAAGACTCAGAATAATTAAAAAGGGAGCAATTAGAATCATAGAATCGCTGAGGTTGGAAGGGACCTTTAAGATCATCAAGTCCAACCCTTAACCTAACCTGACAAAACCACTTCTAAGCCACGTTCCTGAGTACCACATGTACCCTTTTTTTAAACACCTCCAGGGATGGCGAATCCACCATCTCCCTGGGCAGCCTGTCCCAATGTTTAATAACCCTTTCGGTGAAAAAATGTTTCCTAATACCCAACCCAAACCTCCCCTGACATAACTTGAATCCATTTCCTCTCATCCTATCACTTTTCACACCGAATTATCACTTATCGCTTCTCAAACCTAATTTTCCAATTAGGTTAGGTTTATAGTGGGACTCGATGATCTTAAAGGTCTTTTCCAAAGATTCTAAGAGTCTACAAATTACCGAAAAAATAAGTTATTTAAGATGGCGTTAATTACCCCCTCTTAAAAAAAAAAAAAAATTAAAGAGGGAGAATCAGCCGTCCTTTAAGAAAAAAAGACTTGCGGGGGGAACAACGCCTCCTCCAAAGGAGAGGAAAAAAAAAAATTAGGGAAAAAAAAGCTTTTATTTTTTTTTTAAAGGAAAATTAGGTGGTGGGGGCGGCTCCTCCTTTAAAAAAAAAAACCAACAAAACAAACAAAAAACAAACCAGCGGGGGACAGTCTTTAATTTTATTAATGGAGGGGGGAAGGGGGGTTAAATGTCTCGTACCTGTGGGTTTGACGGCGGCGGGAGCGGGGGGCGGCGGGATG